ATCCCTTCCCAAGGGGTAAATCTTCAAATGCCAATGCAAACATTTCATGAGAAGGGACTGACAGAGAGATCGGTGGGAGCTCAGCAATCTCCACCTGGCCACCCTTTGCTCACTGCAGCAGAAGCTCCTCTTCAGAAACATGGAGTGGGTCTCTATTTTCCATCAGCCTTACAGAAGAGGGCAGCAGTGGCTTGCAAACCATTGCAGCCTTTGGGAAAATAAGAGGGGGATATAAAAATGTGGTTTCAACAGCAAGGCCGAGGATTTCTGCTTATGTCAGCTGCAAAGGAAGAGACCGTTACCAGAAATGCAAGAGGTTCCCCAGCATTACCACTGTTGTTCTCAGACTGCTCATGTTGTGCACAGGAACTCTGAGAAATCCTCTCAGTACACCCACCACTGAGGATTTGGTGGGTCCTTAACTGGGGAGTTTCTGCCCACTGGAACCAGAGCCGAAGAGGTGCAGTTCTTTTGGGTGGCTTTCCATATGGATTTGGCCTCACCAGAGAACAGCGAGTGGAAGGAACACTGCTGTGTCATGAGGAAAAGAGAACCCACATACTTGTGCCTGTCATGAATGTGCACCAAGGGGAGCCATGGTTCTTCTGGTTCTTGACCACTGGAGGAGATGGTGAGTGAGTCATGAGCTCCTTTCCATCCTGTGATGCACAATTATTTCCTGTGACTCTTCCATATGAGGAGAGCAGAGGACACTTACATGATTCCACCATGGCTTCTCACAATGTATCAACTGACCACTTTCAAATATTATAATTTCTAAATATATTCAATCCCAATAATTTTCATAATTGCATTTGAGTGATTTATGAGACAATGTCAGTACATTATAAGCAGGGAGAGGTGAGAGCACTGACACAATTAACAGACACACACGCACACTGGATTCCTAATGCTCTGTTATCCAATGCTGTGTGGAGGTTCAGGAAGAACAACTTGAATTAAAATTAGCAAAGGGTAAAGTGAGAATGAATCTGCTACTGCACAACTACAAAATGCACATAGAACCATCTTGAAATCCACAAATTGAAGCTCATATTTAACTATGAGATATTAACATATTAAATGACATTGAAAGCAGATGCAAATTGCACTTGTTCCTCTTCTCCATTTAGGTGGCCACACCTCCTCATCAAGTCATAGTTTGGTGCTTCCTGGGCCATCTCTCACTGCAGAAGGTAGACTTCCTCTTCATGCTCACAATGCAGTGGTCCTTCCTTTTTCTTTTTTTCTTAGCACCCCCACTGTGTGAGTATTCTTCACAGAGAAGTGAGGAATGAACTGGGATGACAGCAAATACTTGTAATACTTGCTTTCTTCTTCACTTCAACTGTCCATGCGAGTGTTCAGCTGGAGGAATCTGGAGGAGGAATAGTGAAGCCAGAGTAAACCCTGAGACTGACCTGCAGAGTGGCAGGGGGTTCTGTTGAGAGCTACTGGTGGCAGGCACCAGAGAAAGGACTGGAATGGGTGGGCCAGTTTTGTTGGGTTAGAAATCAGTGGAGAACATACTATGCCGTGTCTCCCCAGAGCTGAACCACCCTAACTGCCGAGGCCTCGAAGAACCAGTATTATTTTGAGGTGAAGCCCCTGACAGCTGTAGACACAGCCACCTATTACTGTGTAAGAAACACAGTGAGACAAAACAAAGGGGGAGCTGCACAAGAGGGAGAATGCATGTGATCCGTCTATTGGAGAATGAAGAGTAGTAAAATAAATTTGCAACTCTGCTGAACTTCCATTCTGCAGACCTCAGCAGCAGTGTCAAACCAATACAAAGGGTGCTGTCGTTACTGGCCAAGTGCAGCCTCCTGCAGTCAACCTCAGCTTGACATGGATGCTGATTGAGCTCTGCAAGGGATTCATCTTTCCTTTGCAGCAGAAAGTCCTACAAAGCATTGGACGGCTTTTATTTTTGTTTTTTATCCAGGAAAATAATGGCTAATATGAAAATGAATGTGTGCCTCTGTGTGTCTCTATGTGTGTGCGTCACTTTTATTAATCCACCCAACATTTCCATCCATTGAAGAGGTAGGATGGCAACTTTTCTACACTCTGTTTTCCTAACAGGCCCGAAAGATGCATGGCTTCCACTCTTTGGGAAAATCCTGGCTCGAAGGTGGCGAGTGACCAATGAGAGAGCTGGTGTGGTGAAGTGGTAATGAGTGCTGGCATGGGACTCCGACGATGTGGATTCTAGTCCCCACCCAGTCATGGAGCCAAATAGGGAACTCTCAGGCCCACCTAATTCATGGGGTGGCTGTTGAGGGATTTTCATTGGGAGCAATAGGAGAAGAACCATGAAAAATAACTTTAAGTTCTTTAAAAAGAAAAAAGGACAGCATATGAACTGAATAAAGAAATCAATAAAACCAGCATGTGGTGGATATATACAAAAGCAGTCATGCAAATGCTCTTATACATTCATATACTGAGAGCAACCAAAAAGAGGCATTATATATGTC